AGTCTGTGGATGCAGATCTGGGAGACGACCCAGGGGCTGAGGAACCTCTACTTCAACCACCACTGTCACAGCAGCGGCGCGAGCGGCGGCGGCGGCGGCAGCAGCACGGCCACCGGCGGGAGCGGCAGCAGCACCGGCAGCCCCGGCGGCTCAGGCCCTGCCCCGGCCGGCATGTACCGCTCCGGGGAGCGCCTGCTGGGCGGCCACGCTCTGCCCACGGAGCCGCGGGACTTCCTGCCCCTAGAGACAACCAACAACAACAACAACCACCACCAGCCGGCGGCCTGGGCTCGCCGGGCTGCCGTGGGCCCGTCGGCGTCCTCGTCCCCCTCGGCGTCCTCGTCCCCGCACCCGTCGGCCTCCGTCCCCGCCGCCGAGCCTGCGGACCCGGCCTCGGGCAGCAGCAACAAGAGGAAACGCGACAACAAGGCCAGCACCTACGGACTCAACTACACGCTGCTGCAGCCCAGCGGAGGGCGCGCCGCGGGTGGCGGTTGTGCTGACGGTAGCGGGGGCGTGTACAGCGGGACCCCGTGGAAGCGGAGGAACTACAACCAGGGAGTCGTGGGGTGAGTGTGGCTCTGCGGCCTGCTGGCCTGGCCGGTGCACGCGGTGCACAGCCGGGCTCACGCCCACGGGGGGTGGGGAGGCTGCTGCCCCAGGGGCATCGATGGCCATTCATTCCCGAATCCCGCAGCCTTCCTCAGCGGTCCACGCCTTCTCCGAATTCCCTCCCCTTCCTTAGTCATCCGCACCTTCCTCCAGTCCTAACTCTCCATACCCCGCTCCAGCCACTGTCTGTCCGCCCATTCCTCCCCTCTCTCATAGCTGCCCCTACTGCCTTCTGACCCCCTCCGTCCCCAACACCTAACCCTCCCCATCCTCACCCCCGACCCCTGATGAGGCTCCTTGGGGCGGGGTAGCATTCGATTCCTGAGAACATTCCTGCCTTAGCGTCTTTAGATGGTTAGGACCGGGAGGTGCTTTTCTTGCCAAGAATAGAAACATCCAGAATGCTCCTCCCCTTCCCCCAGTCCCTGACAAGAATCTAGTCAGCCCTGAAAGGCACTGCCTGCCTGCTCTTGACCCTTTGGCCCATCTTTTTATTTTTATTTAAAAAGGAAAAAAAAAATCCTTGTATTCAGGATATCTGGACACTGGTGAGGGAAAGCACCGGGTGACAGCTAAGTTTAGGCTGGCAGAGATGGTGAGCTCTGAGTCCTGCTAGAACTTTCCAGGAGTTCACGGTTGGTGGTTTCTCACTGTGAAGTTGTCACAGTGGCAGAGACAGCAGTGGTTTTCATTAGGGGTGACTGTGCTAGTGAGTGAATGTTGCACCACTAGTGACTTTGTGTTTAAAGTTCAGCTCTTACAAAATGGGATCTTACCTGAGCCCTAGTGAATTATGTACATAAATTGGGAATATTTCCAGTCCCATTTGCCTTCCGGAAGAGCTCATGTGCTACACTAGGTTACCGAGCCTTTTTGTTTTTCTTTTAAATAAAATGAAGCTTCTGGACTATGGGGATGTGTGTGTGTGTGTGTGTGTGTGTGGTGTGTGTGTGTTTGTGTTTGTGTATGAAGTATGGTGTGTGTGTAGCTCAGGTATGGAAAACCAGCTTTGACATGCTTCTGGTTTTCAGGGCCTGGTTTGCAGTAAGGGCTAGTGTACAGAGGAAATCACCAATTAGTAATCTGTGTGAATCTTTCTTAGATTCACCCATTCAGATCTGCCCTGGTTGGCAAGGAGAGATTGCTCTGTGTACCTTTTTGTTGAAGGTCTGGGTAAAATGAGTTGGAGGGTTCCATCTGCTTGTAGTGGGCTGGTGTCTACTACATAGTCTTACAACTCCCACCCTTTATGGATGAATGATGTCATGTGGGCCAGGATTGGGTCTGGGGCCCTCCCTATCCAGGGGAGACCCTTACTCGGTGAGTCCTCTGCTTAGCCTCAAGGGTGCTATCCGTGGTCATCACCTTTTATTAAAGGCTTATGGTTCCATCCTGTTAGCATTTCCAACCCGAAGCATAAAGCTGTGGTTTAGTGACAACAATTTGATATTGAGAGGTTCTGGTAGTTTCGTTTTACAGGAATAAGCACTGGTTAAGTAATCACTGTCAACTAAAACCTCCAAGTTCCCAAACTGCATTTTACTGAAGCCTCTGTGCCTGTTCATAGAAAAGATACGTTATAAATCCAAAGTGCTGTTTGCCTCTGTTTTTGATAGTCAGAAGTGGTTCTCCTTTCTGCTTGCTGTGTAAGGTTATTCCTGTGAAGGTTCACTTTTGAACTTTTGTAGAAGCTTCAAATACATTGCCCTCAGAAGGGTCAGGGAGGAATTTCATTTCCCAGTGGGATTACTGCTTAAAAACTGATTGTAAGTTGGGCGTGGTGGTCCACGCCTGTAGTCCCAGCACTAGGCAGGTGGATCTCTGTGAGTTCAAGGCCAGCCTGGTTTACATAGTGAGTTCCAGGCCAGCTGGGGCTACAGGGAGACCCTGTCTCAAAAACAAAAACAAAAACCAACAACAAAAACCTGATTGTAAACTTGTTAAACAGCTTATCACTCAACCAGACTTTCCATTCTTTTCCTCTTCCTAAAGAAGACACCAGCAGTTAGAAGTTGTTTCATTTGTCAATTCTGAGACGTCCTAGTTTTGAGAAATATCAAGCAGTTCCCAAGAATGTTTTCCAAATGACTATGCTGAATGGTTCTTGTTTTGATTTGCATATTTTCTTTCTTTTTCGGTCTTTTTGAGACAGGGTCTCCCTGTAGCCCCAGCTGCCCTGGAACTCAGTAAGTAGACCAGGCTGGCCTTGAATTTAGAGATCCACCTGCTGGATTAAAGACCTGTGCCACCATGCCCGGCTGATTCGCATATTTTCATCTCTTAGCATTTAAGGAAGTTTTGCTGTTTTATTATTTTAAGAAATTTACATTTATTTATTTTGTATGTGTGTTCCTGTGTGTGTGTGTGTGTGTGTACTTGTATGTGCCATAGTGTGGGAGTGGAAGTCACAGGAGAACTTGTTGGGTGTTGGTTGTTTCCTTCTATCATGTAGGAACTGGGGATTGAACTCAGGTCATTGGGCTTGGTGGCAAGCGCCTTTACCTACTGAGCCATCTTGCCCAGTTTTAACAAAATTACATTTATTGATTGATTAGGGTGTGTGTATGTGTGTGTGTGTGTGTGTGTGTGTATGTGTAGAGGTCAGAGAACAACCTTCAAGAGTTTGTGCTCTCCTGTCACTATGTGGGTCTTGAGTTATCAAGTTATCAAGGCTTGACAGCAAGTGCCTTTACCCACTGAGGCACAAGGCCAGCCTAGTTTTACTGTTTTAAATATAGGCATTTAAACAGTAGGACTTGTGAGTGCACCTCAATGTTGTGATATACTGAAATTAAATTGAGTACATCTCTTACTAATATTTTCTATGTTCTTGGGTCTAGCTGGTAACTGTGCTGGTAGAGGACAGAGCATGGTTCCTGGTATCTTGAACTGACTCGCCAGATAGGGACACGGGATCACACAGCATGTGAGAGTGGATTAGAATTCCAGATGCTGTCTTGCTCCCTGTTGTCCTCTGTGTCTTTGTTCTTTGTGGCAGGTTCACCCACTCCCTGAGCACTCTTGACACACAGTTCAAAATCCTGCCTTTCCTTCTTCCATTGCCCACGTTCTTGTGCTTGTGATGTTTCTGTTGTTACTGTTCTTCCTCAGCTTGCTTCATGTTCTTGGTAGTGCAAACTTTGGTTTAACCCTCTTTATGGATGTGTTTATTCCCTTTTACCTACTGGGTGGAAATGTACTTGGATTTCATACTAAAATCTTCCTTTTAAAACAAAACTCCTCTCCACTTACCATCGCAGCCTTTGTCCCTGTGAAGCCATAAGCTCAAGTCCAAGGAGGTTATTTGTATTCTCTTTATTTGGGTTGTATTGAGAGTCAGCCCAAGGCCTGTGCATGTTATGCAAGGACCTTACCTCTGAGCTGTAGTTACAAAAGGTTTGGTGGTGTTCTTTTCACTGTTGTTTGGAGGCAAGGACTTGCTAAGTTGTCCAGGCTTGCCCTGAATTCACTCTGTAGGCCAGGCTGGTTATACATCTGTGATTCTCCTGCCTCAGTCTCTGGAGTAGCAGGGATTACAGGCTTGAGCCTTCGGCCCAGCTTTCTTCTAAGTTTTTGTTTGTTTTACAGTTGTTTCCACGTACCCTTTTTCTTAGGCTTCTGTCCCCTCTAGGGCTGGCTGTCATACAGGATGCAGTCCACTGTACTGTCTCCTTAACCATGGAAATGAGCTGGAAGCTCTTGTCAGAGGTTCAGGTGTTGTTCATCAGGGAAAAGGAGGGTGGCAAAGTTGTACGCACAGGAACTTACAGATATTCAGAGACCTGGGTCCTGACCTGGTGTTCAAAAACTTCTTATACACTGTACTGATGCCTTGCTAAACTCATGAGGATGGGGTTGTGTGGCTGTCCTGCAAGGTCTCTAAGTGGTTTGTCAAGGCTTCGGTGACTTGCTCAGTCATGTTTTGGACTATGAATTAGCAGATGGGACATCAGGGAGTCCCCAGGGGAAAGCTTAGCTTTTGAGGGTTTGGATGGCTTTGGAAATTGAATTTGGGCTCTTGTGTGTACTAGGGAATTACCACTCTTCCAGCAAGCTGCACCTCAGCCCTGGAAAGCTTTAAGTTTAAGGAGTAATTCTTGAACTGGGATGCTAGGAATGGGGTTGGAAGAACGAATGAGAGAGGTGTTATATGATAGGATCCTAATTCTTTAGTGAGGTTATATTAATAATTGTACTACAGTTCTGAACTTGAGCAACTGGGGAAATATTTGGGGCAGAAGATACATTTATGTTTAGGTGGAAATGTCTAGGCAGAGTTGGGATCAGGACTAAGGGGCAGAGTTCTTTACTGCAGTAGGGCAGCATACCGCCTATGTGCTGCCTGCCACCCTTCACTGTGATACAAAGCCCAAGGTGCTGAGGGCTTTTTCGGTGCTGGTATTGTGGCTTTTTTCTTCACAGTAGTGTCCTCATGGGATTGGTGTTCCTGCTGAGTTCACAGGTTGAGCTGGAAAGAATTTAGAGTTGTGTTCCATGACGCTTTGCTCAGTTTAATTTCTGTACATTCTTCAGTGAACTGAGACCTTCGAGTTACTTAATTTTTACTGATTAGGATGCTGAAATAACGCTTTCAAGTCAAGAAGACATTATAGTGCTAGGCATGGTAGCCGCACACCTTTAGTCTCAGCACTCGGGAGGCAGAAAAAGGTGGATCTCTGTGAAATCAAGGCCAGCCTGGTCTACCTGGTGAGTTCCAGGTGTGCTGGGGCTAAACTACAGGGAGACCCTGTCTCAAAAAGATCAAAAACAAAACAAAACAGACATTATAGCATAGGTTTTACACTAACACATAATTCATAGTTGAGAGTTGCCCAGAGTATGGTATACTAATTCCAGCCAACTTTCTTTCATGCCACGACTTCCATATTCTGAGGATGTGTAAGACTGTTGAGTGCTGTCACTGTTGGAATCACTGGCATTTCAGTTTGTGGAGTCT